CTCTACAGTCTGACCCCATCTCTATACCTCCACGCTTTGTTCATTCTCAATACTCTTTCTACGTCATTCTCTCTAACGCGAACGAACTTCTCTCTTCTGCATTGCGTTCACAACTCAACCACTTTTTCGAATTCTTTCAACCAGAGAATTCAAGGCACGACAAAAGCTTCGTGCGTCCGATCGACGAGCTATGCGCGATGCAATACTCTCGACGATGAAACGATATAACGCTTCATGTGGGTATCTCGGACCTCACCACACTCCCATTTACCCAAACTTCACTGTATAAGTATTCCTGACCTTTTTGACCTATGGAAAGAGATAGAGGCAGATTGAGAGAGAGAGAGAGAGAGAGAGAGAGAGAGAGAGAGAAAATCAAATTGAACTAGGAAGTTCAGGACAGTCATACTCGTCGACCAGCTTTAAACTCTTTCCATCGATCAGAGTACTCGAAGAAATAAAACGCATAAGAAGTAAAGCTAGTGAATACTCCAACGAAACTAACATCCTTCTCTATCAAAAGGCAATTTTTCGTTAAAGAAAATTCGAAAAGTAGCCGATTTTGTGATCGAATCTCGAGCTTCATCGATCCTCCTTTCTCACTTTCTTCTTTCTTTGTCCCCGGTCTGATATAAGAATGGAAATAGTATTGATATCTACGTATATATAATATGTATCTATATACGTATGTTCGATAAAGGAAGTGTTCGAGCAGATTTCTAAAGATTATGGTCTCTCTTTTTATCTCTCTCTCTCTCTCTCTCTCTCTCTGTTTTTTTCTTTCCTCTCTATGCGTTTGCCTAAAGCGATTTGAAAAAAAAAATTCGGTACGAGTCTACACGCAAATACATTTTGACAAGAAACGACAGAATAATTCCCAATACGGCTTCCCGTGATTTTTCTTCCCTTCGTGGCTCCAACGTCACAACCCCCTAACTCACTCGCCCCCTTCCGAACCATCCCCTCCCAACATTGTTTCCATTGGATCCATATCAATTTTTATGAAGGTATCGAGCGATATCGGTCGACGTACGCGGAAAATCCGCCTACCAACGCAACGCAACTGTGAATACATTCTTTCTATTTTTTGATATACATGTATCGAACGTATATATGATTTCTTTTTGCTAGCAGAAACCGTTATCTCGTCGAACACTAAAGAATAAGTAGAGAAAGAAAGAGATGATGAAAATAGGAGGACCGTTGCGAACTTTCATGACAAAGGATTGCATTCGTCGATGCATTTTCCTTCGATATGACGTACCTATACGCATATCGATTGACCTCCTACATAATTCTCTATAACTCAGCAATCCAATGGAAGATAAGGAAAAAAATAAAAAGAAAACACATTCAACTTCTCCATAAAACTTCTTCTACGTAAAGTCAAATAATTCGAAACTCTTTCGCTAAAGAAGATGAAATTGTGTTAAAAGAGTTTTCTATCGATATTGAATCGATATCGATGCTGAGAAAAAATATAGATATCGATTATATTTTATTTTATACACATATTTTACAATATTTTCTTTATCATAGATTTTATTTAGCAATTTAATTAATTTAATTATAAATATTATTATGTCACAAAGTATATATAAAATGTAATAATATCCGATCGGATTTATTCTGAAGTATATCGTAAATTTTTGGAAAATTTAAAATACACTTGTTAATTATTTAGTATTCAAATTATTCAAAAACAAAGCAACAAAAGACAGAAGAAAAAGTTTTTTTATCCGAGACAAATATCTAAGAATCACGTTCAAGACACTTCCAGTCAGATCGGAATCCACTTTGCGATTTCATGAATGACTTCAAGGAGTAATTCGCTTTTATTCTCTTTCCGAACGATATCCGTCGATACGTCGAGTAACTGCAACTTGCGAGAGTCACTCGCTTTACTTGAAATGCTCTTAGATTTTATTCCGTTGAATTACAAACGAAAGCATCGAGAATGCTGCGTGAGATTTGCATTTTCGATAAGTTCTATGAACGCGACAAAGAAATTACAATACATCGGTGAAATAAAACGAAAAGCTGAGCTTTATTACAACATCATCGGATTCTTCAATATCTCGAGATAAACAAGAAACACTTTTTCCCATTTTATTCAACGATCACTTACGTTGGATTCTATACATGAAAAATTTTCTATATACATCGAGAAGAATGAAAAAAACGTGTAGAATTCATATCTTTCTTTTTCCTAAGATTCTGAAATTAAATTGTATTGAACGTCATTGTTCGTTCTTTTCAAAAAAGAAAAAAGCATACATTAAAAAATAGCAACAGATGATATCTGATGAAAAATGATAAAAGAATAGAATCAATAAGAAAAATCAAAAGTACGTTCGAGCATTAACACGAGAAGGAACGTTTTATTTTTTCAACGATGTGTCCAATTATAGAATGAAAAGCGGCCATAAATTGTCGTGAATTGTTTACAAGTACGTATCTACCTGTCTGCCTACCTACCTACTTACTTGTTTGTATACCAACGAATGTGAGATGGGTGTTCTGAAAAAGAGAATGAGCTTCTGACGAAAATTTTATCGCGTTCACACTCGACGAGTCGTTGAAAAAAAGGCGTACGTGGTATGAACGGGAATAAAATAGAGAATAAGTCTGGTGTATAGAATAGAAAGCATAACAGTGGAGTAAAAGCAAACGAGAATAAGAGGTAAAATGGATAAGGGGGGAAGGGATGGAGATAAAGAGGTGAATGAGGAGACGAAAGGGGTAGGGATATCGGTCCGTTACGATGGATGCTCGAAATTGAATTTGCCGAAACGTGGAGCGCTTGATTAAGTGCTTTCGTCGGAAATACCGCGAATCATACCCTGGTAACGACATCATCCTCCATTCAGCGTCGATTTTCGATCATTTCGAGAGTTTTCGGAAATCCTGCTCGTTCGTAGGTATATTAAACTTCGACGCGGACAATACGTGAACGAGCACTGACTAACATCTACGAACATAAACGTTTCGGTTGTTCTTTTTTCACGCAATCCCCTGATTTTAAACAAATTTTTTTTTTTTTTATTTCTTTTTATATGATTTTTTTTCTTTTCTCTTTTTCCTTTTTCTTTTTCTTTTTGTTACATTTAAACATTGGTTCTTTCATCGATTTTACGATCGTTCAAAAATAAATTCTCCAAAAATAGAGAACTCGTCCCGAGTTTAAATCCCCGTAGGTCCACGAACGATATCACGGATCGATAGATATTATTTCCCAGCGGCTTGCTAAGCCGGACGACGTTACAGTGATTATTGACGATAAAACGCGGTATGTGAACTATACCACTTTCATTTATTCCTTCCTTCCTTCCTTCCTTCCTTTCTTTCTTTTTTTTTTTTTTGGTCTACTCGTATTTGCCGAAACTTTTCAAAGAAATGTCAAAGTGGTAAAAATTTGCAGCATCGCATTCTTTGCCATTTTATGAACCTTTTCAGATTGATTTATAACTCGATATGATATTCTACGCGTAGGCAAAAGTGTGTACTTTAATTTAATATAAGTTTTATTAAAATCTATTCACTTTTAGTATAAAAAATATTCACCAAAACTCTTCAAAGAATTAGCAAAGTTGTACAATTTACAGCATTGCAATCTCTGATATTCCTTTGAAAAGTTTCTGTAAATATTTTTTATACTAAGAGTTAATAGATTTTAATGACTCTTATATTATATTAAAGTACTCCCTTTTTCCTACGTGTAAAATACCTTATCGAGTTATAAATCGATTTGCAAAGGTTCAGAGTATATTTTCTAGACATTAATTAGACAGATATTCATAGAGATTTCCATGGAAATCTGTATCTTTTGTTTCCTATCGTATCGGAAGATACACAGGTTTAGAATGAAATGTTCTTTACTTGTATGGGTTGTTTTGTGGGGGAGGGGTTGCGGATGGCTGTGTGTGCCTGTGCCCGAGAATGTATTCTTTTCAACGTTGTTTAAATAGTAATTTGATATTCTATAGAATATCAAAGTATGATGTTTAATGCTTAGGAAAAACTGCAGGAATTCTTCTGTTTCCGACTTCATCGGAATGTTCTTTGCATTAATAAAAATGCCGAGGAATTACTAGCAATGGCGGATTTCCGGCTATGACAGTAACATATATATATTATATTATACGTACGTAAATTGTTCGCAGATTTTTAACATTTGTACGTTCCACGAGCCATTTGTAACGGAACTTTGTCTTTTACAAACGGAAACGGGGAAATTTTTTCGTCGAGATTATCCAGGAGCTTGTTACATATGTTCGCACGGAGGCTTCTATGTATGATAGAAACGATTCCAAATGTATAACACGTTACAAAAAAGAAAAAATAAAAGCGATAGAGAAAGAGAAAGAAAAAGGACAAGAAGAGAAAAAGGTAAAGTCAGAGAAACGCAGAGGATGAAGAGGAGCCAGAGGAAAGTGGATATACCGTGCTATAACCTCGTTGATAAAGCGTCCTATACGTTCGACGTATGCAGCTAACTTCCAAAATAACGAAAAAGCAAGAGAAATATCTCGGCCGGCTTATCCGACTTCGTTCCGATTTCGCGAGAGCGGATATTCCGCAAAAAAATATCGCTACGTTTAATCCGGGAACGATCGTACCTATATCTGACCGATACTAGCTACACGAAGCACAGTAAATTGGAATTGGCTCGAAGAAAACACCGAAATACTTATCTCGATTTGCTTTGATTTTTGCGCTAACAGAAAAATCAGAAATTGCTAGGGCCTCCTATATGTATGTATGTATGTGTATACGGATGCGATGAATGCTTTAGGTCATGCATATTGATATTTAAATTTCTTTTCTCACATCGAATAAAAGCTTATGGTATTCGTTAGAAAAAAAAATAGGAATGGTTATCGTCGAGTTTCAATAATTTTCTTTTTTTTTACCCAACGCGAAAGTATTTATTAGCAAATGTTCTCAACATAATCTATAGGGATTCTCTAATCGTATATCTTGTTGATTTATTTTTACAGTTCCACCAGAACAGCCGACCATTTTGGATCGTTGGGGTCGTATTTTGAACGGGACGGCGGGGCCGTACGAAGAGGGTGACACTCCCTATCTCACCTGTCGCGTAACAGGCGGTAAGAAAAGAATACGATAATATATGCTCGCTTCTTACTTATTACTTTATTTTATCACGAAATCGAAATGACGTGATGAACGTTGTAAAAAGTGATTAGGGACCAGGGTAAGACTTTAGGGAAGGAAAGAAAGGAGGAGGAGGAGGAGGAGTGGAGTCAGTGGTGTCGTCGGTTATTAGATCAGCCAAGTTTTTATCGGCGAACAGAACTAAGTGAAAAGTTTCACGTTCGGTCGGACATTAGCGAAGGTAAATGACTTTCGGTAGCGAAGGGGTTGGAAGATCAAACGACTTCTTCTAGTTTCGAGGAAGAGCTTCGATAGAAGCTCCGAGGGTGGAGTTAAGAATAAGAGTAAGATGGAACGTTGAAGTACCGGCCACTACTGTTTACTTTGGCAACTGGATCTAAATTTCTGTTTATAACTGCGGCAACTTCTACGACCGTCTTAAAAGATTATTTCCTCCTCCTCGGCGTCCTTCTTCTCTCTTCTTCTTTCCCTAGCTCTCACTCTCTCTCTCTCTCTCTCTCATTGCCTATCTGTCTGTCTTTTTCTTAGTCTTCCACCACTCGAATATCGACCTCCATCTTCCCTACCTTCTAGAAGAACGTTGACGGCACTCAACGGGAAAGCCCTCCTACCCCTCCTACCCCCTTAAGCAAAGACGAGACGCAACTCCTTCTTTTATTTTTCCTCTTTCTTTCTCCTCTTCCTCCTTCCTCATCTCCTTATCATCTTTTTTCTCTACTACTTGCTGATTAAACGAGTTTCCGCCATTTTTGGAAAAGGATATCGCGACAGCAAAATGTCGTTAAGCTTTTAGGCACGGATTGCTGCCATCAAAATGAGGCAAATTCGAAACTCCGTGAAATGCGATTACAGTATCCCGCGGCGTGACGTAATTGTCGCGTGATATCCGTAACCGTGTTTTCGACTCGAAAGCACCTACAAGTATCTTTGATCTTTCCGAGCGATTAACTTTCTACGACGGTGTATATACGGTTCGTGTTTCGAATCGAACGGAGGCCATTCGTTCACAAATTAATTCTTTCGATCATTTATTTTTTTTTTTCTTTTTTCTTTTTCTTTTCTTTTTCTTTTTTTTCTATTCTTTTCTCTAATTTCCTCTTATTTCGATCAAATCCGTTGCCGTTGCAAATAAACTCGAACGATTGCCCTTTTTCATTCAGTCGGCTTCGATTATCGAAACGTCAATAATTCCGATAAACACTCCAACTTACTTTTGATAACTTTCTCCATAACACCGCCCACCCTTTACTCTCGCGTATTTTCTCAAAAGTAAAATTAATCGAATATCGGTATATAGACGTCGCCCGTTTTTATTTATTTTTATTTTTTTATTATTTTCCTTCTTCCTTAACCCCCCCCCCATCCCCAGCCCAGCCTAGCCCACCCCATCCCATCCCATACCATCCCTCCAATCAGAAAACGAATTCGAACGTCGATGGAAAAGTTCTCGTTATACGCCTACGGGATCTGTATAAACGGATAACGGATTAAATAATAATGTTTCCCGGGAAAATGACGATATTATGGTTTAGAGAAATTTTGACCGAAGGTAGAAAAGCAAGCCCTTATAGATCATTCGTCTAATCGATGAATATCGAGGCCCAGGAATATTGCCGTATGCAGATTCGATGGGAATTGGATCGGCACTGTGCGCATCGATCATATACGTTGCGTCGTATAAATTGAATATCGAGAAGATCGGCTTATCCTTAACAATGCCATTCCGAATACCGCTCAAACAGCTTCCACTCTCATTAGATCGCATATCGATCTTTATTGCTTTCTATCCAAATCTATGATCATTTTTACATGAAATTTCTCGTCTTATAATATCAAGACAACGTTTTTGCGTATTCAGTAGAAACATCCTAGACTTTTGCGCGTCGTCGATAAGATGATAGAAAACAAAGGGAATGCGAAATGAAAGTATTTTATGTGAAAATAATCGACTCGTTTAATACGCTCTGAAAGCTTACTCCGAACAATTCGATTTGTCGTAGTACGCGAATCGACAAATCAAAGTTAATTGATGGTTTCATACCTATTCATATAGATAATTAATTATTTCCGGTACGGTAATTATTTTGGTAGTCCGATCGGTTTCTCATTGCAGTAATGTAATTGATATATTCAACTCGATATCTTCTTATATCATTGTGTATAATATATGAAAATTAATTAATTCATAATTTTCTCTCTTTCCCTATCTCTATTCCTCTCAATCACGATTTTCCCCTCTAAACCTTTTCGTTCTTCATTTTTATTTTTTTTTTGTTAAATAACAGGACACGCGATGCGTTCTCACGTTGACCGCATTTCTTTTTCTTTATTTTCCCGCTTGCTTTTACATAATTTGCAATTCAATACGCGACCGCAGTGCGAAACGCGTTACTTGATAATGCAGGAATTACGTGCAAATGTTATGTACTTCCTGATTAAACGGTAATATTTAATAAAATTTGTATTCATCATCGCTGAAAAATATCGGAAATCAAAATTAATATAATTTAATGTAAATATAAAAATGAATGGGCAGAAAGACAAGATTTTTCAAATTTTATCGATAAGTATTATAATAATAATATCTTATTTATTTCTCGTGTGTTCACTTTTTTGGATTAATTAATATTTATCGTGCTCATTCATTCATTTACCTCTGACAATAAAAAAATAAAAAAGAAATCAATGGCCATATAAGAGGCAGAAATAGCCATTGAATGCATTCCCCTTAATCCCCCGCACTCCGTTTCACCACGCGTTCAATAATTATCGCTTCGGTTTTTCTGTTAAAAAAAGAAAAAAAAAAGAAAAAAAAAAAAGAACAAATATTCCAATCTCTTGCGTCTACCACAAGATATATTAACCTACATATGCATCCCAAATAATCTAATTTTTATACTCTAATGAAATTTCGCGGTAGTAAAGGAGAATCGGAAAGCGGTATGATGCGAAAGTCGTGGTTTACCTAGTAATTTAGTTGGTTACTTTCAAGCGTACAACGACGACAAGGTCGATGACGAAGAGAAGTGTAAGGAGAAAGATGATAATGTCTTTAATAACGGGAGTCTACGCGTGCTTCTGCACTTTTCAATCCTTTTTATCGAACCACTCGAACGAGAGCAATCGATTAATTAAATAAATGGAAAAGAATGGAGGAAAAAGTTATAAAGATTGGCGCGGATTATTATATTAATCGATTTGAAATAAAAAAAAAAGATAAAAGAAAAGTGAAGTTTATTTACCGAACGTAGGAATATTTCGAGAGAATAAAAATAATGAAAATAAAATACACGCAGAGAGGATTCTCCTGACGAGAGAAAGAATTCATCCTCGAATCTCTCTTTCTATCTTCATCTCTATTCACTCTTTCTCTTTCTTGGTTGCTTCATTATACGTGACTTAAAGTTAAACCTAATTCGGTGCTCGGTTTCCGCTTTGTCTATAATTTATAGCATCGGTGGTGAGGAAATTTTACGACTCGTTCCGCGAATGAAATTTATTGCCAATTACTTAACTTCGTGCTCGGAAAGAATCGAAAGGCCTGTTCTCGAGAACGTATACGCGCGTAAAAAAGTCTACCCCTTCTCCCTATACCTATCATTCCCTTTAACCTTGTCCCTTCTTCTCTTAAAGGACAAAAATAAAATAGACTCCCTGGTCTTGTACTTTTAAAATCACGATAGATCGTTTTTTTGGATTGAAGGATGTAACGTTTTCACCTTTAAATTGATTCCAATCGTACGCGTCCCACTGAGACTAAAAGAACGATTGGTGGAAGGGACTAAAAAGACGCGAATAAATAGTTGTCCTATTCTTGTTCCTTATTCTTTCTACAACAAAGAGAAAGAAAGAGAGAGAAAAAGAACAGCGTTACTTCGTTCCAGATATTTCATTTTAATTTATATTATGGCATTTATTCGCGATACCGTTTTGTGACCTCCTTTTGGTAATTTTTTTATTTTTTTTTCCATTATTATTATTATTATTATTTTTATTATTGGGTTGGCAACTAAGTGATTGCAGAGTTTTTGGTTGACAACTAAGTGAGCATGGTTACTTTAATAAAAATCTACAGGTCCCCGGGGGACTTCTCTTTCTTTCTCTTTCTTTTTATTTATCTATCTTTTTGTATAAATAAGTACTTACGTAAATATATATATAAAAATTATAAAGAAGAAGAAATTATTCAAATAAAATGAAAATGTGCCCATTTTTCGGTGTGCCAATTTTATCAGGTTTTCAATTATAAGCGAGAAAGTTTATTTTAATATCAATTAAGAATTTAAACAACAATATTGATTTTCTCGATGTTTTTCATTCTTTGTTAATTTGTTTTCTCACTTTCATCCCTACTTTTAAAGTGCCACGAATACACGAGTAAAGGTAATAGAATTCATGACAAATCATATTACCTATGATCTTCTCTCGTAAGATTTTTTTTAACCTGTCAAACCCCAACACAACACAGAAGATTCCTGTAACATTAAATATGATACATTTATTCGTAGACCTAGATATATATATCTATCGTAATATAATTAATTATTAACACGTGATATCCTTTTTTAAATAATAATATTCTATCTATCTATCTATTTATTTCGTTTTATTCGTTCGAAAGTGTAGAAGAAAATAAGAACGAAAAAATAAGAACGTGTGTAAGATTACTCGAGTAATCGTTTCCCTTCCTCTACCCCCCTATAAATATATAGTTAAATATATAGGTTATGTTAAAACAATCGCACTCGCTTAGTTGCCAACCAAAAGATCCGCAATCACTTAGTTGCCAACCCAATATTATTATTATTATTATTATTATTATTATTATGTATTACTTAAACGCATATCTTCGATTTTAGATGGCAATATTTTATCGAAAATCACAATAGAATATTACTGTGTATTTCCTCTTTTTTGCTTTCTTCGGATCACTAGTTACATTCTGGAAAATCCCCCGAGCGAGTAAATCAGAACCGAATAGCGAATGTCGTGTTTCCGGCAAACCAACTCACCGTGTATTCTACATCGAGCCAGTTTATTCCGATAATTATCCGCGCTTGCAGAGCGAATGAGCCTCTCTTTTCTCCCTCTCTTCACCTTCGATCGACTTCCATTTCTATCTCTCTCTCTCCCTCGCTCTCCCTCTCTCCCTCACTAGCTCACTCGAATATCCAACAAGCCGAAACACTTCGCCTATTTCCCCCAGGATTACATGTAACGTCACAAGCTCGGAAGTCGGACAAAGTGCTACGGGTATTTATTTTTCAATCCATGTATCAACGCAATCCGAAAAAGTTCGAAAATAAATATTAAAAAGTAAAATTTCAATCGTATCAATCTCTCTCTTTCTCTCTCTCTCTCTCTCTCTCTCTCTCTTTCTCTCTCTCTTCTCTCTCTTTCTCTTTCTCTTTATTTTTCTCATTCTCTTTCCCTCTTGGTTCTTTATAGCCTACCTCTGTATTTCGTTAAAAATAAAAATTTTGTCGCAATGACTCGAAAAGTAAAATAAATTAAAATTTTACTTAACACGTATTAATTTTTAGTAGACATTACGAATGGTTAAATAATTAATAGATTGCCTATGAAAGGAAATAAAATATAAAATATCGTTTTAAAATAATTATGAAATATTGCGTAATACACGCACACAGAATATTTAATGTAAATAAATCAATGGCAACGTATTTATTTACGAATTTAAAAAAAAAAACATTTAGAATATTATAATTCATTCCGTGATTAAAAATTATTATCAACAGGATAGCACACACGAGAAATTTACAGGAAAACTAATGAATCAGATAAATAGTTAAAAATATATTTTATGTGATTATTAAGAAAAAATTATCGTTTTTAGAAATAAATAATCCTAAAGACATTAGATGTAATTTAAAAAATACGTTAATTTATAGATAATTACAAATCTTTCCAATAATCGTAATTTCTCTATTTTCCCCTGTTTAATTATATTTTCGACTGCACTCTGGAATCATTAATTTTTTAATTTCATGCTTATTATCAATATAAAGCTTTTGGTTGAAATACATAACGAGAAGAAAGCACACATAATTTAGCTTACAACGACGAATGAGCGATCGATTATCCCACGACAAACGTTCCTCGAATATGTAGTGACATTTACGTTCACGCCTATCCCTCCATACAAATCGTCGACATTTAAAGCGTATTAATTCGATAAACAAAACCGATGAATTATCAAAGTCGCAATTAATCGTAATAACCAATTATTAATTGTAGCTTGTTAGAGCCAGCCAATCAAAATATGAAATAAATGAGAAAGATCAAGTTTAAGCGTTGTAACCAGGTTCGTACAGTTAACAACCGTATAATTTATTCAATGTTCATTCACCCTTACAACGAATAACGATAATTGAAAATGAAATAAAATGTTATACGTAATATTTCGACATTTCAATTTTACAAACTAATTAAAAAAACATATTCAAAGAAATACCTGAGAACTTTTCAGTCGAGAAATAATATATTTGATTAATGAAATAACATCTATAGAATATTTTAACTTAACGACGAGTTCATTCCTCATCCCTGGTCAACATGATTGACATAATATTCACTTGTTTAATATATAATTTAACGACACAGATTGATCGTGTATATAAATTATATACGTTGAACAGGAATTACAGAATAATTATTAATTATAAAGACACGGAGAATATTGTGAGGAAATAGGATATCTGTCAGACTCTAAAATGAGATACAAAGGTATTAAACACTAATTACAATACCGTACCATACCGAGTATCTTGAACAAGTTGTCAGATGCTGATATCTTGAGTAATGAAGGGTATCATTAATAGCTCTTGTCTATCAATGGATAGTTGATAACGATAATCCATACTTACCGTATAACATGTATACGTTGATGGTCTCTATAGCATATCTGTTTCCAAGTAGCTAGGTTTCATTTCACAGTTAAATACGATCGAATATAGGTCTCTTTATAAGATTGAACGTAGTCATAGAGTAAGTAAGCTTCGTAAATGTTTTGGAAAGGTTAAGGGGAGGGGAGGGAAGGGAAGAGAGAGAAGATAGAACAATTTAGAGAATCGAACGGGAAGGGAACTAAATCTGGATGCGTTGAAAGGACTAAGAAAAGGGGAAAAGAGGGAAGGTAAAGGGAAGGGTGAAGCGATTAGGAATCTAGTAAAGAGAGGATAGGTGAGGTGAGGAGAGGAGAGGAGAGGAGCAGAGCAGAGAGAAAGAGGGAGGATATCCAACGTGAGGGCTCTGATCCCCGAAGCCACCGGTGGTGGGTATTTGCCTTAAGCAGAGTTCGAACCAACGGTAAACTTGTTAGATGTGGGTGGCCGCCTGCCGAGCGACGCCTTAATCCTGCAAGATATCGTCCGGTATCCGCGGATTAAAATCCACACTTTAGTGCCACGCCTTGGAGATAGCGTAAATGTCGTCGTTCCAACAGCCCTACTAACGTCGCTCAATGAAGAAGAGAGTTTGACTATAGTTCAATGGTTAAAGTCAATGCCAGGAACGCTCAGAAAGTTCATCTTATCTTTCACTTGGTCTCTTTATTTTCTTATTATCAATATGTCTTATTTAATATTGTTATTTAATGTATAATTAATAAGACTATATACGAGTTGTAATCGCATTGATTTCTTATTTTGAATATTTAAAATAAATTGTATTTATACAATTTTAAAGCTTAAAAAAGAAAATTAAACGATTAGAATTCGTATGGATGTTGAATAATAAATAATACCCAGAACAAAATTATTCTCATTGAAGGAAAATAGATCAAATTGATAAGATAAAATTGAAGAAACAAGTAAAAATACCGGTGTATGCTTTGTAATGTAACTATTTTGAATGATGTACAAAATTATGTAGTACGTGAAAAGAACATTAATAAGATCGAATTAGCGTCGAAACATCGTTCCCTAAAGTATCGTAGATTCACGAAGGAATAAGAGGAAAGTAAAAGAAAGTGGTCGAGGGAAGGAAGATTGGAAAGAACGAGACGGTTAAAACGCAATCAGGATGGGCAAGTATCGTGAATAACAATGATACCAAGCTAATCTAAGAGGCGTTACGCTATACGTACGGCGCACTTTCTACGAAGATCAGCTTGCAATTTTAAGTGTTGTTGCAAGCGTCCTTTCGCTATATCTTGAACCTGATTAAATTGCGATTCCAGCAGCCAAGAAAGCTACATGAATAATAATGAAAGCAACTACATCGAAAGATATCCACCACTGCGACATCCCTTTTTCTTAAACTCGAATAGAAAAAATTCAATGCGAATCATTTGCGTTTTATTCCTTCGTCCTATTTCTCTTTGATTATTATATTTTTATACATTTAAATTGTGCTTCGTTAACGTTCGTGTTTTCAAACGAATACATATGTACCCACCATCGATTTACGATAATTAATATAAATATAAATAATTGAATAAATGAGTTGAGACACAGATGTGTCACTACGTTGCTCTTTAATTAATTCTTCAATGAACGTACAATATTTTTTATCGGGCGTTTCGTGATACGAGAGTTTACAACTTTCACCTATCAAGTGCAATATTTTTTGCTCGCAGTATCATGCGCTGCCCTGCTGTGTTCTAGAGTATCGGTTAATTTAAAAGTTGCCACGAACTCATCCGCCGTTTAGTTACTTCGACGATAGCTCCCGTTCGGTGTATACGTTATCTCTATCCCATTCTCTGTTTTCCTAGTTTCTGCTCTCGTACTCTCTTATTTCACTGATTTTTTTTTACCCCTGAACAACTTTTTAGTTGAGAAAGAAATTACATTTTTTTCCTCTCTCTCGTGTCATTAAACTATTTGTTGTTTACCGTTTCTTCGGTATTCAACATTACTAAGGTATTAAAACTATTTAAATAATTCTTCATCTATTGAAATATTAGAAAATATACACTTTCAACGGATTGAAAAGTATTGCAAAATCATTATGAAAATTCTCTTTAAATTTCAATGCCTAGTTAACTTGCATCGAATTTTGTTTGAAATTAAAGCAAAGCTTTATGAGGGAGGCTCATTTAAGAGAGAAAGAGCTTAGAAATCAAAAAGGGAATGCGAAATTAAATTGAAATGTACGTCTGATAAACCGACATTTGCCTAAAGAATGAAACTTTGCTCTTTGAACATACTCGTTAAGCCAACTTATCGATTATAAAAGTCACGACCGAAATGAAAATCTTTTGTCATCATTTATTTATTCAATTATTTAATTGTGCACGATTCTCTCAACGCTGATTAAATTATTATTTTTCTACAATTGTTCTTTGAGAGAATAAAATATGAAATGAATATTTTTGATGATGATGATTGTAGGTAAACCAGAGCCTATGGTTAGATGGCTTATCAATGGAAATATTAAAGACGAAGAATACGAGAACAACGCCGGAGACGTCATCGAGAATAGGTAATTATTTAAACGAAAATATTGATTTATAATTAAATCGAATTACAAAATTAATCTGAATAATGTACAGATAGACAATTCGTTTTTATTTCAGGCTTACGTTCCAGCCGATTACTCGATCGGAGCTTGGCGCTAATTTTACTTGCGAAGCGCACAACACGGATTTAGTAGAACCTAAGTTTACTTCTATCACGTTGGACCTAAATCGTAAGTAAAATTTATATCTTTCTATTATTTGTAAGAAAAAAAAAATTCAACCTATAAAGAACGATCTAATAAAAAATAAATAAGAAAATGTTCGATAAAGGAATTAAATGATATACGATTATACGGTTCTTTCCCAAAAACAAAAAAGCTTTATAAAAAATAAGACGAATATAAAAGAAAATACAATAGTAGAAGAAGAAGAAGAAGAGGAAGAAGAAGACATAAAATAAGAAAAAGGTGAAAAGAGAATGAAAAAGAAAGAAAGAAAAAAGAAAAAAAGGGTAGGAATTCTTATCGACCGACTAACAAATCAGAGGCCTATCTCTTGTCCCGCATTAAACGATAAAATCTACGAGACAGGAAAAGTGGGCCAACATCCTTTACTTCTTCGTCGCTGTGAATCGTCTTTAAGGGAAGATAAAGGAAGATAACACGAGAAATGTATTAAATTCACCCTCGAGACCCACCCAACGATTCATTCGTCTCTTTCGAAGGAGAGTTGCGAGCCTTGGAAACAGCGGTGCTTTCTCCTTGGGACTTTTTAGAATCCTTTCTTTAGTTTCAACAGAGAAAGAGAGAGAAAAAAAAGAAACCGATTTTCTCTTAGTAAGACGAAAACACTTTCTAAGAATCATTTCCATCCTGTAGTTTCCCTTTTTGTTATAAACGAAAGAGAAGAAGAAGAAGAAGAAAAAAAAAAAAAAAAAAAAAAAAAAATATGCAATTCTACTTAATCATTTTCTAGGTACGATATTATGTTGATCCTTTATACTGATACTTTCTTTTATGCGTTTCTCCATAACCTTTTTTCTTATTATTCATACGAGCGTGTTTGTTGCGTATAACAAACTGGTTTACCAGGAACGTGTTATTTTATTCTCGAAACAAAATATACTTGAAGAAGTATTATGCGAGCATTTTTTCTTCCCAGTAACTCTCTCTCTCTCTCTCTCTCTCTCTCTCTCTCTCTCTCTCTCTCTCTCTTTCAATTAATAATGATTTTCTTGTTTTCCTCAATAAACGACACACCCGAATGATTCACGTTAAATCACGAGCGTTGTGAAAGTTACGATATTTTTCGAAACAACTCCGGGTGAAATTGAAGACCCGTTATCGATAGTAGATGTGAGCGAGAAAGAAAGAAAGTAGACTCCCCCATCATAGTGGTGGGATCCGAAAAGGAAAAAAAATAAAAAGGAAAGGGAAAAAAAACGAAATCAGAACGAAAGCGAGAGAGAGAGAGAGAGAGAGAGAGAGAGAAAAAAAAAGAGCAAAGAGAAGAGAGGTATAGAGATTGATCGACGCCTCCCCTTTGATTTTCGCGACCTCGACCAAGTGGCCATGTATCCACCGCGTATTCATTTCATGCCATTGGACTAACAAAAAGCGAGAGAGGAAATTTAAAAAAGAGCAAAGAGCAGACAGAGAAAGAGAGAACGAAAGAGAGTAAAATATCGAACAGAAGCGAGACAGACCGATCGTGAAAACGAAATCTGCGAAATTGTAGATAGCAAAATCTCGATCTTTCTCTCTCTCTCTTTCTTTCTCTCTTGCACTCGATCCCTCGCTATCATTTTTTTGTTGTTTTTTTTTTATTCTAAAAATGTTCAATCAACGTGTTGGATGAATTTAATTGATTTGCATTATAATAAGGCAACATTGATAATTGATTAATAAAAAAAAAGTAATAATAATAAATTATTCTTAACGTTAGATTCTATTTATACAATGGTACTGTCAAAATCATTCAACTGAAGCACAACAAATGAACACTTCGCAGGTAGCTTTTCGAGTGGTTATCTCTGAAATAACACCACCCTGTTAGATAGTAGTATATGCAAGAACGAAAGTACCATCGATGCAACTCAAACGGATGAAAATGACAAACGATCAACTGTCGAACGGAGTTCAATGTTTCGCAACGAGTTTTCGCATTCATATCGAGCTCACGTAGAACGCGCTCGTTTATATTCACCTTAATTATCGCGTCTGATTAGCATCGATCATAGATGCAATTGCCAAACGCTGTGCTTCGAAGAAAAAAATTAAATAAACGAAAAAGTAAAATAAAAAGAAAGGGATGATTGGCAGATCAAATTAAAATAAATGGCAGTGGACGGTATTAATTAAAAATTTCTTGCTAATGACGAAAACAAAATATTTCCTTGTAAAATAATTTAATGGAAATGGGAAATCGTTGTGTTATCAATTTTAACGCGTATAAAATTGACAATAATTATCCTTTAAAATAGTAGACTATCTATCTGTTTATTATTGATATCGATATCATATTAAAGATAATACATACATACATACATACATTATCTACATAAATAATCATCTTTTTTTTTAATATATTTTCAGTGAAACCTTTGACTGTGGCCATACGAAGACCCGGTAAGAAAGAAATCGGGAACGAATCATTGCTAGCAGGAAAACGCTATGAGGTAGAATGTGTGACCACCGGTTCAAGGCCACCGGCAGTAATTACATGGTACAAAGGCCGAAGAAGACAGTTGAAGCATACCACGGTAAGGATGAAATGTAGAAATAATATAACCCGAGATTAGAAGTTTCGACTTATTGGAGAAAAATAGAGAAAGAAGATCTAGACAGAGACAAAGCGGAATACTCTTTTATGCTTTTTCGGGCACCCGCGAGACGTCGCATCGTATATCTTTTGTCTGCGATTGCAAAAGTTACTTTTTGCACGTTTTCATTCTTCCCATATTTTCTATCTCCATTTTTCTCTTTATCATCATTATAGATTTCTTTCTTTTAAACACAGAACAGAACAAAACTACCCTGTAGCATAACTAATTACTTGCAAAACTAAATAACATCTCATGTAACGATAACAATTTATTAAACAATTCGAAAAAAAAAAATTGTTTAAATATCGTTTTTCGATACGTCAAAGCAGGAAGTCGTTAAACTATCGTTACCTCGCGATCCTTCAATTTTTCAATTTCTATTCGAATACTCTGACGTATTTCCAGAATCATATCAAAAAATTAGCGTATATTTACAACCTAAAGGACCGAAAGAAAAAAAAAAGAATTTAAGCTCCATTCTTCTTTTTATTTTTATTCAAGAAACAATTAAAATTTGGCGAATAGAGAATAAAGAAAAGAAGATGATTTCCTAAGGATGAATGGAGAGGGGGTGGGGGTGGAGGTTGATAACAACCTTGCATCCATATTCATCGCGGTGAAAGGTGAATCTCGTTAGTAAATTCCTTCTTCGTGTTTTTAAATAGACAAATAAATGAAAAACAAAGGAATAGTATAGAGGTGTGAGAGAAAGAAAAAAAAAATTAATCGAAAGGGATACAGAGAGAAAAAAAAAAAAAGAGTATCGAGAAGCAACGAACGACACCTTTATAAGTACCTACCATCTGCCATGAAGTATCTTCGGTTACGGGGCGATCCACGTTACGAGACAGGTTGTCCAGTAACGAGGCCATCGATCCTTAACGAGGGCCTCCCATGACCGAGGTTACGCCTTTAGGTGCCGAAGAGATCTCTAGATATAGTGGCAAGAACCGTGGCTGCTTCGATTTTCCAGTGGCACTCCTAAGAATTACGAAGGAAGGAGGACTTGCCGAGAGAAAAAGAAAGAGAAAGGGGAAAGGTTGGGTGGGGTGGTGTGGAGGAAGCGGGGGGAGGCGGAGGGAGGTACCACTCGACACTAAGAGTAAAAGGTACCGAGAGAAGGATGAGGAGAAAGGTCGAAGCGCCCGAGGAAACCGATAACTACAATCCCCCGATCACGGATCTTTCCCCTGGGAGAGATCTTCCAAGAGAAACAGAGTCAAAAGGGATGAGAGAGAGAAAGAGAGAAATGAAGTTAGAGAGAGAGAGACGAATCCAAAGCGTAGGGTGAACACGTGCGCGCGCACACCTTCCTGCACTCTTGAACTACATAGTCAGATAAAGAGAAAGAGAGAGAAAGAGAGAGAAAGAGAGAGAGAGAGGGATAGATATAGAGACAAAGGTAGGACTTGTGAGAGAGAAAGCACTCTTTTCGAACCGATTCGATTCTCCAGCTTCGAGTCGCATTCGATTGTGAAAGGGAATCGAAAGGAACGGCTAGCTTTGAGCTTTCGCGGTGCAACGATTGAATTAAGCGGGCCGCACCTGTCGGATCCAGATGTTTTCATTGGTAGTATGCTAATTGCCAATTAAGCTATGCCATCTCAACCAATCCCATTCTCTTTACACACGCTCACTTTCTGTGCATCCTTAACGAGACTAAACGGGATTTTATACGAACATTTAGCAAATAATTATAAGCGCATGGAAAAGCATTTTCTTTTTTTTTCTTTTTTTTTCTTTTTTTTTCTTTTTTTTTTTTAATTTAGTCAATTTTAAAAACATGTTATTTCGTATGGGAAAACGTATTCATAAGTTTTCACATCGCGAGATAAGAGAAATTAATTTAATTTATTGTAGTTATAAATATAATACTTTCACTTATTAAAAGCTTAATTTCAATTTAAAGATTATGATTGAAATTTGTTTTCACACACCACATCGGAAAGATAACATTCAAAAAAGCATTAGCTTTACCATTAGTTCGTTCCAATCCATCGAAAAATAATTCACAATTGATTAATAAATTTAAGATATGAAATAAAATGAAAGCATTCGTCCAACTTGGCTATCCTTTCAAAATGTCCGGCAGGATAATGCTAGGGCGAACATGGCCGCAAAATCGAGCTTTTATCCTATGGGAATATCCAATGTTATCTCATAATATATGTATCGCAAAGAGCACATTAGCGTTGACTTCCCAAAGGGCTAGCTCGGTAATAGCGGTGAAAGGAAAGCCCACAAATCTTTCCTACGTGTCTGTCAAATGTTTTAAAGAATTTTCCATGGCGTTTAAAAAATTGTAAACAGTTATAAGCGTGCATAAAAATCAATATTTAATTGTAAGTACAATTGTATTTACAATTAAAACAAAATAAGAGAAACGAAATTGTCGTAAAATGTATTTATTGTTATACGTGATTATAAATTGTACTTAATCACGTTCATTAGAAATTCACAATCGTCGTTGACCCTGATCTAATTGTAAGTATTCCACACTTGTATCGTTCTAGTTAGATTCTAACGATCCCAAGGGGGTGGCACATTTATCGATAATCCGAAATTGCAAACGCAACTTCTGAACATCGTTGAGCATATATGTCGAAACTGTCCTCGTTGTTGGCGTTCGTATCGTACTGACGAACGATCCTAATTAATTTCGTGTAGTTCATTAACAATTTTCACGATTGAACGAGTAACGTCGACCAAAGTATCGACCAATCCTACAATATCGAGAAACATTTATGTCATTTACTGTGAACTCGACCGTTCACCATGCATTTTTTATATAATGAAACTAGATACTAGTTAGTAATAATTACGAACGATCGATCTACGCTTAAAGTTATCAACGAGGTTATTGCAAATGGCAATTAAATGGACTAATGAAAATGAAAATGAAAAATGTTAACTACCTACTGGAAACGAGGACAAGGGAAGAAAATAGCTGGATGTTCGATATGTAAAATGCAAATAGGAAGATAAGCGATCGGCGCGAGACATTAACGAACTCTTAACCATTTAGAAGGAGTAAAAACTTAAGGACTCAGCGGGAACGTCGTCGTCGTCGTCGTCGTCGTCGTCGTCGTCGAAGAAGAAGAAGAACACAGACGGCTTGGAACGTTACCGAGTCAGCGTTTAATTCGGCCCGTTAATTTCAAACTACGAACAATTAACGAAGAATCTCGGGCGTTTCGTTCGTGACAGGCAGGACGAGCGACTGATAAGGGCCCAACCGTGTATTTCCAACCGCAGTCTCGTTTTTAGGAATGACGTCGTCGAAGGTGCCGACGTGCCTATTTAAAATTCTCCTTAGCGTTTCTCTTAAGTACGAGATAATAAAATATAAGCCCAGAGTAGGAGCTTTGAGAACGGCACGGGGAAGGGAGGGTCTAAAGAGTGGCTGAAGGGTTCGAAGAGAAAGGGTGCGGTCGACTCGACCGTTGTAGAATTGGTCGCGTCTCAGGGAAGAAAAGGCCTTGGATAGGAGGCGAGGAGAGATATTAACATAAGCAGATCCTGTAACCGACGGATCACGTATACCACTTCTACCGTATTACCATCCTGATTATCCTATAGCCATCCACCTCTGCATCTTCCGTCCTTTCTTCTTCGCTCCTTGTTCTACTATTCTCCCTCACCTGCTGGAGGACACGCACGAAGCTCACAGAGAATGGAGACGCGCGCACAAGACAGAACCACAAAGAGGGAGTAGGTGGAAAAGGGAGAGGGAATGGGAGAGGGAGAGAGAGAGAGAGAAGGGAGAATTTCGAAGAGCGAAGCGAGCTAAATCCGAGGATATAGTAGACAAAGCCGTATTCCTGACTTGAGATAACGAGGATACCATATAGCTATCGTAGAAAATATGATTTTCGGAAATCCGCGGGAACGCGTGCCTCCCTTCTAAGCCACCCTTTAATAATCAACGTTGCTTTATGTAGTCGAGACACCTGCTTCCGCTCCTCTCGTCAACACGACAAAGAAAAAGAAAGAAAAATAATAAGAAGAAAGCAAATTTAACAATGATTGCGATGATTCCGTATATCCATGTTATATTATTATTTTTTGTCATTAAATAAGTCGACGAAAACAATTTGATTTCTTTCGTAGAAAAGGATGAAAGAAAAGGGAGCTAGTACAATTTTCGCGCAGATGTTGCACATAACGGTTGCTTACGAGCTGACTCTCGACCTTAATATAACCAAAATTAACCATAGTGGACGCGGCCGTATATTTTTGTTTTTTCATTCGTGGCAAACCTTCTTCTACCATCTTGCGCCATTGAATTAGTTGTTTTTTATTTTTTTCATTCTTCTCTTTTTCTTACATCCTTATCCTTTCGTTATTCACTCTTACATCTACAACTTGTTACGGCCTTCGAAACGCGTTCCGGATGACTCCCGAAATTGTTATTATTCTTAAATTACGTTCGCTTCGTCGTTGAGGTAATGCCAGAGAGTAGTTCGAGCGGCAACTACAGAAAGTGGAGAATCGAGAAAAATAAAGAAAGTAGGAGCGGGAGAAAAAGAAGGAGAGAGGAGGAGAGAGAGAGAGAAAACGAGTAAAAAGATGCTTTTGTAAAACGAAACCCTCGTAAAACTCGAGTAGGTTAATGCGAAGTGGAGGGTGATACAAGGAAAGAAGGGAAACCAAGTGCAGTAGGAACGAGGCAACGGGTTGAGCGCAATCGGACTTTGAATACGAAATTAAAAATGTCGAGTACAGGCAAAACCGTCGAGTTAAGGACGAAGATCTCGACTTTCGGCGTCACTTTTAACTCCTGACCCGTCTATCTTTCTATCTTTTTATCTTTCTGTTTTCTTCTTTACTCTTCTTGATTACAGAAACATAGTAAAAAACTAATAGCGGTTCGCTGATATCTCGAGTATATTACGAAACGGTTTTAAAAAAATGTCAAAATTACAAAAGAACAAAGTTTTTAAGTTTAAACATTAGTTCCGGTAGCGTTGTCATAAAGGAGACTTCAGTAGATTTATTAACTCGAATTTTCTATGATTTACTTTACAAAGAGTCGTTTGTATTTTAATGAAAATTCTTACTTACTATTAAAGTCACATCGAATTCGCGAATGAACTTTGTACGAAAGTATGTTTACCGTGAATGAATGAAAATATCTCAAAGAATCTTTGATATTGCCACGAACTGTCTCGAGAAATCTCTTTCTTTCTCTTTCTTCTCTTTGACAAAATCATTCACTGATCTTCGAAAACGTTTCTATGTAATTTCATAGATATTCGATAGAGACTTCTGACTTCTAGTTGCAGCTGTTAATAGCGAGCTTTAGCTTCTATACTGAGTAAGAAACACTCTTGTAAGAGAACGGAGTCCGACACCCCGAGCAAGTTCCTTAACAAGATATTCCAGTTGGTAACTGGGACTTCTGCTTGAGCGAAAACGCACACACATCTTCCGTTAACGCGTATCGTGTACTCAGCCTGTCGCCTGCTACTCCTTCGTTTCTCTTGTAACACCTCGGTACTCCTTACCTCCCTTTACTCTTTCACTCTCTCTCTCTCTCTCTCTCTCTCTCTCTTGCACTCCTCATCCCTTATATTCAACAACGAAACCACCGTGTTCAAATTTGGTGTACACATTTGCACGACGACAAACGTTCTACGAATAGATAGATATCAAGAGGTAGAGACTAAATTTATTAAATCTCTTGGTGTACGGATCTACGTATCGACTATTTACATGCTTGTTATAAATTGTACAATTAATTTTGTTTGTTCTCACTAACAATAAGATCTGTTTAACTATTTCCTTAAATATACTTACCCTACGAAATTCATTTATTGATTTATTCATTTCTTTTATGATATATATCTTATTGATAATACAGATTGCATAATACAATTACATTAATCACGTGTACCTAAACGTGTATATGCGAAAACGTTGATAAATGAGTATTAAATAAAAGGTAATAGAGGGAAATAGGGCAAATGCAATTTTCTAGTAAAATGAGTTCATCGAAGTAGAAAAAAATTTTAATGGAAACTCCAAATCCTTACATAAGGTTCATATTCTGTTTAATGGTGCGTTAGCCGCATAAGAGGTTTTATGTATCGTAACGTGGAAAAGCATTTTATGTCTGATAAGCTTTTGTGCTATAAGAAAATACACCGTGGAAACAGCAGGCACTTTTTAAGATTATTTAACAGTTTCTACATATATAAAAAAAAAAAGTAATATCGCTTACAATTATCTTCGATTACGAGAGATCTCATATAGAAGTTGTTCATAATCGAATGGCTAAATCCAATTTAAACGCAACAAATTCATTATTGAGGAAAATGGTCAATTATAAAAATTGTTCTAACGTTTACATCATAAAATATGGTTGCTTCAAGTTTAGAAAATTTAACGACAATGTTTAATTGCATGAATTTATAAAATTGTTTGGTTTAAACAAATTAAAAAGTTGATATTTATGATATTAAATCAAACATATTAGTGATCGCAAAATAGTCAATTTCTTTCACTGCATTTTTATGTTTTATAGGAAGAAAGGTCCGAAAATCGTACTGTTAGCATGGTGGAATTTGAACCTGGTGTCGAAGATCATGGAAAATCAATAACCTGCAGGGCAGAAAATCCAAATGTGACCGGTCTCTTTCTTGAAAAGTCATGGAAGATCGACGTTGTGTGTAAGTATATGATGTTAAAATAAAAATGATAAAGTTAAGATTAAAAATAGATAAATAGCAATGTAAAATAAATTTGACTCTCTATTCACAATTTTATATAACAAATTACGACGTCAATTGCATTAAATAAACGGATAATGTTTATTATACAAAGTTCATTATGTATTCAATTTAAACGAATATTTGATTACTCGTTTGGAAATGATATCAATTTCGATATGGAATATTATTCGAAGTTTTCAATTTAGATCATATGAAAGTAGACGAAACATCGTAAAAATGCAATTTTCGGTATCGTTTATCTCTCGACGACACACATTTCATCTTGATAGATATTATTGGTTCACGCGGACGTCGTAAAGGAGAAATAAAGAAAAAGTTTAGAAACGAAAGAGAAACAAAAGAAAAAGAAAAAGAAAAAGGGGAAAAAGGAAAAGAATAGAAACGGGGTATCAGCCGTTTTCTCATCGGCAATCTCATCCTCATTCTCAACGCGTCACCGAACCGACCGATTTTACGAGCCTCTTTATTTCATGCGTCGGCGTGGTGCGAGAACGGGCGCGCGCGTGCGACTTTGCTACTTTTATTGCACCAATAAAAGGATCTGCGCGAGATTTCTCGCGAGTTACAGCAGAAATTTCAGTGAAGAGAAGAAGAGAACCAACAGTAGTAGCAGTAGCAGTACCAGTACCAGTAGTACCCTTCCTTCTTCCACTTTTTCCAGTCTTATATCGCATTTCCTTAACGCGAGAACCTACTCTATTCCCTAGCGATCTCTCGGTGAAACGTCGTAAAAAGAAACGAGAAAGAAAAGGGAGGTGAAAGCAAAAAATAAAGAACAAGGACGGAGGGGAAGATCTTTCACAAGGGTGACTCGTAAAGTGAAAGGAACCTGTCTATGAATTCGGACGTTCTGATTGATCTACGAGCGACAACTCCATTTCTTCCGGTTTCGATTCCTCCTCCTCCTCCTTCTCCTACTAAGAACCCTCCTCCCCTTCGTCTTATCCTCTCATGCTACTTCGTAATCCTTGCCGAAGCTCCCTTTATGACGTCTCGATTCCAGCTTGATTTTAGAGGCTTGTTACGTAGAAATGGAGATCGGTAACCGATTCGATCGCAAGCTCTCTCTCTTTTTCTCTTTCGACACGGAACCGCCTGACGACTTACTTTTACGAGTTTTACGATTATAACTTTAAATCGATCGGTCGTACGTTAGATACCGAATAAATCGGCACGTTCTTTTCACAAATTTTTTTCTTTCGCGTTATTAATTCCGCTATACCTATCTATCCTATATCACGTTGAACCGTGAACGAATCTGACGCGGGAACAAAAATATGAAGAGAAAAAGGAAAAAATAAATAGGAAAAAAAAAAAAAAAGGAATAAAAGAGAAAGAGAGAGTGAGAGAGAGAGGAAAAAAAACAGGCTTTTACTCCGAAACCAAACCTCCACCCCCGTCCACCTTTTATTTCACTTTCATCTTTGAACGAGGCAAAGTCTCATACCAGGATATCCGCTTATTTCAAATCGAAAATGTTGACGACCGTATAGATGAATACATCCTACAATGAAGAAAGGGAGAATGTCGATGAGAGTACTAGTACAGTCTGTCGCCGCGTTCTCTTTGATCTACCAGCGACAATTTCATTTTTTTCGATCCCGTTTTGGAAGCTCAACTATGTGCATACTTCCTTCTCTACCTCCTGTTCCACCTCCTCTTCCTCTCGACCTTTTGATGAGGCCTCTTCGGCGTAATCTTTCGCTTTGGATCCCATGTCGATCTCTCGATCACTTATTAAACACGAATGACAGCTCATTGGTCTATCGTAACGTTCGAATTGGCAAAGGTTCGAAAGGCGACGCAAAAGAGAGAGAGAAAACGAACCGTCGGGTCCTTTTTGGACCTTTTTTTTTTGTTTTTCTTTTTTTCTTTTTATACGACGACCTTTTTATTTATCATAGCGACGCGCTATATATTTACCTAGCGTGTACATATATATATATATATATATATACATAGGTCCGTTCGCGATACATACATACATACATACAAATACATACATACCGAGTGGCAGCCGTCCCACGTATTTCCTCGTTGGACGCACGTCGATCCCGCCCCTACTTCTACATGGAGGCCAAATTTATCACGCGACTACGTTCATCCGACCTCGTAAACTTTACGTTCCGACTTGTCGAGAGTTATGGCGAGCCTAGCGATGAATATTGAAATGAAGACAGACGTCGGAGAGGTGCAAGGATATGGAAAGAATAATGGCCGTATTCTCCTTCGTGTCAACGATGTCGACAAAAATTTCTATCTTCAAATATTCCAATACCTCCCCATCCGTATTTCCTCTCTCTCTCTCTCTATCTCTCTCTCTATCAAATATATAATTGTTAAATTAATATTTTATCCTCTCGAAAATGAATTCGTTGACTCGATTTTTCTCTTCCTCTTTTTCTGTTTTTTTCTTTTTTTCTCTTTTTTTTCCTTTCTCTTTTTAATTTTCCTTTTGTGTTCTCGTTGCGTCTCGGTTATACTCTACTTGCATTTTTTTGTCAGTTATACCAACGAAAGGAGAAAAGAAAAGGGAACAAAAGACATTGAGGCTCATGATCTGCGAACTAAGAAAAGATATCTGCAGAAATAAGAAGAAGAGAAGGAGAAGGAGAAGAAGAAGAAGAAAAAATGACGTTACGTCACGTTTTCAATTACGTTCGCTTTCCTAAAGCATCCTTCAAATTATACTCGCACGAGAGGTCGTCATTCGGCTTTTCTTCACCGATGTCATTATTCCTGTTGGTAGTAGTCGTGTGGTGGTCCTCTTTTTCCTCGTTGTCGTCGTCGCAGTAGCTCAATTCGCAAAGAACGTGAACGAATGAGAAAAGAATGGTACGAAAGAATGTATTGTGAGTCTGAGCAAAAATTTTGATGGAAGAAGGAAAAGTTTAAAACTAGTAACATAGCTAGAAAATTTACCAGAAAAAAAAACAAAGAGAGAGAAAGAGAAAGAGAGAGAGAGAGAGAGAGAAGGTTCATTGTGTTTGTCAAGCGTCATAGAACGAGAAAGAAGAAAGGAAAGAAAGAAGAAAAAAAAAAAGAGGGAAAGATGGAAAAGATAGCTGAGGTGATCAAGCTAATTAATACTATCTAAATGGAGTAAATGTGCCTGCAGAAAAGATAAGCAATGATGTAGAAAGAAAGTAAAGAAAAGAAAAAAAAAGTAATTCATCGAGATACATGATAAGAACTTAGAAGAGGGAGTAGAAAAAGTAATTGTAAAACAGACACTGAATAAGACACAATATCATTAAAGTAATGAACGACTCCAAATAGAAGATAGGAAGAGTAAGTAAATGAAAGAATGGAGAGTCTATTTTTCTTCGAGTATTCGTAAGAAAGTTCGAATAAATGGCCGGACTCGACAAAAAAAAAAAAAAAGAACAAATCTTCCTATCAGTTTCAGATTATTCTTTACTCAATCATCTTAAATGTACTATCGATAAGATAATAGATTGTAATGCTTCGATATTAATCTGGATAAACAATTAATATATTATTCAAATTAAAAGATAATATGAAATTTTCATTTTATATCTCATCATTATTTCCTTCTAACTATTAATATAAATACAATATAATAAAATACGAATAAGCGTACTATATATACTATTTCGCAGAAAATAAATGGGAACATTGTGAGGAATGAAAAAAAACGAGGATATTTCTTATCGAAAGAAAGAATAGACAAGTCGCACCCGTTCTGCAGGACGAAGAGGACGGACGTGCCCCTTAAGCTGATATCAGGTTGATGAAATTCTACGAGGGTGGAGTCCGCCCAGACGATAAAACGTATCTAAGCCCTTTTATCCTATTCCCTCGCTATGAGGAAAAATAGTAGAAGACGGGCAAGAGGAACACTCCATTTCCTACGTGTCCCATAACAGAAGTTCGAGGGTGTTGCCTGCCATGGCTAGTCATACGACTGCTACTAATTTTCTTTCAACCATATCCTCTATCTCCTTCGTTTTCATTCTTTCTACGAATGAACAACTATTAATCCTTTTTTTATTTCTTTTTTAAGTATACAAATATATAATAGATATTTCTTACAACGAACTTTAAAACGAAATTATTTTCTATTGTGACACAAACAAACAAATTATTTTACTAGCTTACTAGATATTTATGAAAAATGATTCAATTGTATTTTAATTATTTTCACAGATCCACCGATCGTCTCATTAAATCTCGGATCAACCCTTAGTCCGGAGGACATCAAGGAAGGTGACGACGTCTACTTCGAGTGTCATATCAGAGCCAATCCACCTTGGTCGAAGTTAACATGGATACACGACGTAAGAGATATTATAAATTATTTCACTTTGTCATTATATTGTATTCGCGTAGTTACAGAATTTACAATGTTTTCTATTTTGGCCATTTACAATTTTACAATTAAATTCATCTCCTTCTATTCGATAAAACAATTTTGTATGATTATATAGGTATCGATAGTATTTTTATTCAATGTAACTCACATGTATTACAATAGTATCGCATTGCTGTTACGGAAATATGAGAAAAAGATGAATACGACATAACAAATATGAAGCAACATGTCTGGAATATTGGAAACATAGATAAATTTCAGTTTCCCTTCTTTAAAAAACAATCGTTTCCATTAATCTCGTCAAGTTTTACAAGAAACATAAAATACGAACGATCCAAATCGGATAATCTTCTGACAACGAATCGGTCTAATTTATCTTCAAAAAAACATTTATTATAGGGTTTCATTGATCCACGTACACGTCTCACGAAATAAAATATCGCATTCTTTGCGTCGCGACGCGAGCCAGATTTTAACGTCCAATCGATAAAGACAGGTATATACTTTTCTCGATCTATTTCTCATCTAAATCTACGACCCTATCGAAACTTAATTCCAAGCTGTGTATCTTTTTACGCGAGAAATGTATAAATTCCTTTGCAATAATAAATTACAATCGTAAATAATATATAAATGCGTAAAAATATTTTTTTTTTTTATGAATATACACAAGAAGTGACACTTGTGTATTCAAAAATAAATTTGTTAATAATATATGTAGATTGGCACGTGAATCTTACAAAAATCCAATTGATGTGCTGAATTCTACACACACGCAAAATTATTAACAATAAATATTAAAGTATTTGAATATCTAATAAAACGATGCGCATTCAGCGATCTACGTCACAAATTATTTAAAATATTAGATTAATACCACCTTAATTCTTCTAATTGTTACTTTATTATAATTGATTAACTCTTCTGATAATCGTAGCTAATTATAAATGACTTAATCTCTTAAGTACTTCAATGCAATTTCTTTGTCACTTTAGGAACAAAAAAAAGGGAACGAGACTCTCCTGGGATTTGTAAGAAGAATCTTACTTCAAAGTTGTCTCTATGTTAATAATTATTCTAAAAATTGTAAAATATTTTATTAATAATTAGCAGCAAACGTATTCAATAATATCGCATTTTTATAACATCGTTGTTAATAATCAGAGAAAAATTTCTCTCATAAAACGTAAAAAAAAAAAAAGAAATACAATTCTAATTTATCGAGAACAAATTTTCTTGTTCTCTTTCTTTCTTTCACGGATCTTTCTTAAAATTTTATTTCTACTGCTATAGCATACTCTGAAACGAGGCACGTAACGCTAAATGTTAATTTCGATCATGCTATTGCATCGTAAGACATAAGTTTTATGTTGAGATTCGATTTCCCGAGATTCTTGATATTTAAATGTATGTATCATAAAATTTCATGACTACACTGTTTGATAACTTTCTCTAGTACTTCAGATATTACATCTGTGCGAGAGTGTACGAGTTTGATGTGCATGTGTTTACAAGAATAAACGTAAATCGCGAAACTGCAAATTTCGTAGCCTTAGAACCCTTACGAGAGATCTTCGAGAGAAGTGAAGGAATATATAAATAAAGATATATATATATATCTTTATATATGAAAATGAGATAATTCAAGTAGCTACAAATAACAGACATTAGCATAAAGTAAACGTACGAACGAGAAGTTCGATGTGTTAGTCGAATAACGCAAATAACGAGAAAAAATCTCTTAACCGTTTTTCTCCGAGAACTAGAGAGAGAGAAAAAGAAAGAAAGAAAGAAAGAAAGAAAGAAAGAGTGAGACAGTTACTTAACTTAAACCCTTTAAAATGATAACGATAAATCGAGAGCAGCATAATCGTCTCGATTCTCACGGTTACGAGGTCCGTTTGGAAGGTCTCGTTTTAACTCGGAGTGCATTATCGTACTTCTACTTCTTCGTAGCGCTGGAAGTCGTGTCCTACCTTACTTTCTTCCTTCCTTCCTTCCTTCCTTCCTTCCTTCCTTCCTTCCTTCCTTCCTACCTTCTATTCTTCTCTTTTCTCTTTTCCTCCTTTCCATACGCTACGCGACCTTTCGTTGGATATGCGTCGTAGCTTGCGAAGGATGCAGAAAACGGTGAGCGGGTAGCAGCTGCTACTGCGTAAGAGATTTCCGTCGAAATTGCATCTTAAAAATATGATCCGACTTCATTCTGTAGGAGCACCCGGCTGCCATAATCCCGTTGCTTTTCTTCCTCCTCCTTTTTCTTATCCCTCATTCTCTCTCTCTCTCTCTCTCTCACTCTCTCATTTTTTCTCTATCTATCTATATATCTCTATCTCTTGCTCTTATCATCTATATTGCATTCGAGCCACCCCCTCCGCACGTGAATTTCTTGCTTTTTCTTCCCTCTCTGTCTCTCGCTCAGTCATCGGACGCCTAGTTCTCTACCACGAAGGATTTTACCTCAAACTTCTTCGAGCTCGATTTATGCTTAAACCGTAAAACCAGTACGTAAAATTGATCCGAGTAAACCAATGCGATCAACGTGAAAGGAAACGGTCCACGAATCAAACACATCGTCGTATTTACTCGAAACGAATTTACTCCCTCGTCTTTCTATCTTTCATTCCTTCTTTCAAACTTTTTCTTATATTCGATACACTCGTGTGATTTATCACTCGTTAATAATCGCAACGAACGATGATATTTTACAATTGAAGAAGAAAAAAGATAATAGATAAATATGTATAATTGCAGAAAAATTTGTTAGCGAATAATAATATTCGGCACGCGTTAATTTTGAAATAATCTTTATTCGCGGAAAGAGATAGGTATTATTTGTGAAAAATGATATGTTCTTCATAACGCATCGGTTTTATCGGAAAACGATATCAGTCCCGTCTATAGACTATCAAATTTACACCAGTTTAGAATAACACGTATATACGCAACATTGACCCTTTGTCACGCGAATATAATTACGTTTTAACGTTAAAAAGCGTAGACCAATAAGTGAGAGAAAGCAAGCTACCCCCTCCTTTGTATTTGTATTCCAGCAATGTATACGCAACGCGTTGTATAAAAAAGACAAATTGCAGGTGATTCCGATTGAAAGTATGATACCTACGAGAGTTAGTACATACAAATATGAAAATTAATTTTACCTACGGTAGAGAAAATTGATTCGTTATCAAATTATTACTATACCAATGGCAATTTCGCGAATAACCTCGGTAACTAACAATTCTCCGAAATTAATTTAGGACCTATAATGTTACGAAGCTAACTATAATTTTCATTTCGATCAATATACATACAAGCAATAGAGAGTAAAAGAGAATGAGAAAGAGAAAGAGAAAGAGAAAGAGAGAAAGAGAGAAAGAGATCGAGTCGACAACAGCCAACCAAATATTTCCATTAGTTTGATGATAAAAGCAATACTATTGATCATCCTCGATCCTTCTCATTATTATACCAAATCGCTATTAAACTATTCAAATATATACACCATGTTTCGTTTAAAAGGGATATTAGGAAAGACACTGATAATGAAGAACGATCGAAAAAAATACGATATTCCAATTTTTTACGAATTTTTCCCTTTTTACACGGATAAGCGAACGAATAATACTTTAAAATAAATGACCTATTTTGCGTAGACATGATATATATGCATAAAAAATAATATTCCTTTTAAACATCATATTATAATCAGCTAAGGATAGATTCTCACAAATTCGTAGGAAGAGTGAACACTCCCTTAAACTTTTATCTTCCAACCGTACGATCGATCGTTTTATCCATTTTCTCGGTCCAACGAATTTTCCATTACTTTTTCCAAGTATAACGAGTTAAATGTCGTCATTCTAAGGAACGTTTCTCTCTTTAACGGTTGGGTATATTTCGAAGCCCGACACGAATCATTATAAAAACGTCGTCGACTATTCCTAGCGATAATAGCCCTTTGAAGCGTCGATCGTAAAGGTAGGGCGGAGGGGGGAGGGGGTTAAAGAACGAGAATGAGGACGAACGATCGAATAGACAAGGAACGACGTGAGGAGGAGAGTAGGTTTTGGATGAAAGAAGAAATGAAAAAACAAAAAAAGAATAATGGAAAAAAAGAGTAAGGAGAACGAGAGAAAAAGAAAGAGAAAGAAAGTGTGAGAGAAAGTGAGAGAGAAGAAACAGAGTTGTGAAATAAAATGGTATATATCCGAAAGAAAAAGAACGAACGGAGTAGCCGGTTGGATTCGGAAAAAGAGATGCGGAAAAATAGCTATGGAAGGACAAAGAGAAGATACGTTCGTTGGGTGCTATAATGGAGTGCAGTGATTAAGCTGGCCCTAGCCAAGGCATCAATGAGGACAATAGAAAAGTCTCGTAGCCGGGTGAAGCATCGACGAGCCAATCGGAGAAGCAGTTCAAAGGAAAGGACGCGTTAGCTGAAAGGACTCTCTTTACTCTTCATCTTTCTTTCGCAAAGTAGATTGAACGGCAAGACTTTACTGGCGCGCCGGAAGGATTCTATTAATGTCGTTGTCGTTGTCGTTGTCGTCGCGTGTCCAAACGCGAGGGCAAACGAGGGATCTCATTCATTTTTTTCTCTTCTTCCACTTCTTCTTCTTCTTTTTTTTTTTTTTGTTTTAGACCATTTTATCTTTCTCGCTTGACGAGTTAGTTCCTCTAACACCTCCCCCTTCCCGCCCCCACACCGCGTTTCACCGTCATGCAATCGTGCGACGAATTTATTTCGAGAAATTATACGAACACACCTTTAAGTCTTTCGCCCGTAATCCGAAACGTAGAACGAATGACTTCTCGAGGGAATTATAAAGGAAGAAATATTTTTCTATAACGGCGCTTCTCTCTCAAAGTCTCGTCGTCCTCGTCCTCGTCCTCATCCTCGTCCTTGTCCTCGTCCTCGCGACAAAGTTTATCGTAGTTTTTCTCGCTGACAAATAAATCCTA